TAATAATAATAATAATAATAATAATAATAATAATAATAATAATAATAGCTACAACCTCAGAGGTGAAGTTTGCACCTTGAGCCTTCGAAAACCTTTTTCTTCTTCTTCTTCCATCAAATAGCCAAAGGAAAAAGACTGTAAAAATGTAAGATTTATGGCAATCTTCCCACAGCCTGATCGCGTATACTCAACGATAAATTCTGCCTTGCTAGCCGACAGAGTTTCAGAATTGCAATCCAGATATAACCTTGGAAATGGATGGTTATTATTTTGTCTGATTGCAGCTTTCAGGGGGTCTCTGGCAAAGAAAAAAAAAGGTGGGGGGTCTTTGTGTCACTTAGAAGCCCATTCTTTTTATGGGAAGGCTTGGAGGGAATTAAACCCAAGGTGAATTTTTCTGTACTTAAATCAGAATTTCTGTTCCTTGAGAAAAACTGCTGAATATGGGCGCTCTAGGTTAAAAATGCGCTTCCTGCCACTCCGAATAATTACCTCACAACGCAGGTAGTCCTTGACTTACAACAGTTCGTTTAGTGACCGAAGATACAACCTTAGTGGGGGGAAAAAAGGGACTTAAACCGTTTCTCACACTTACAACGCTGTTGCTGCGATGTTGCTCTTTTAAATCGCTTTTTCTTTACCTGTTTTGAACGTGACCCGTTTCTTAGCGCTTTGACTTCCGATAGAAGGAAAGTGTGTCATTTGCTCTTTTTGTTGTGTGATCAGCCCCAGCAGGCAACCGTTTGTACTCTTTGGCACCCACTCATCCAGAGAAAATCTGAATTCGGGCAATTTCAGCTTCCCCTCGGAAGGGCACCTGCTTCGCAACACGGGCCTGGCTGGCAGCCTCGCCAAGCACATGGTAAGCCTCCCGCCTGGAATTTTCAGAAGCTGCCGGTAGAGCACTGTGGTCAAGGCATGGTGCCTTTTGTGGCCTGGGGGATTCTGGGAGTTGAAGTTCACTCACCTCCAAGCTGCCAAGTCATTGGCAATGACTGGAGTCATTCTGGTGTGGAGAATCTATTTGCTGCCTTGTGTTCTTTGTAAAAATAATACATGTGGAAGATTAGATAGATAGATCGATAGATAGATAGATAGATAGATAGATAGATAGATAGATAGATAGATAGATAGGAGATAAGAGATAAGATAGATAATGGATGATAGATAAATAGATAAGATAGATTAGCTACCTGGTAGATAAGATTAGATGGTTGATAGATAGATAAATAGATAGTTGATATAGATGATTGATAGATAATAGATTAGATGGATGATAGATAAATAGATACTGTAGATAAATAGATGATAGATAGAATAAGATAAATGATGTAGATGATAGATGATAGATAGATAGATAGATAGATAGATGATAGACAGAACAAGAGATGATATAGATTAGATAGACGATAGATTAGAGGGATGATGGAGAGAAAATGAGATAGGTAGGTAGGTAGGTAGGTAGGTAGGTAGGTAGATAGATAGATAGATAGATAGATAGATAGATAGATAGATAGAAAAGAGATAATAGATAAGATAGATAATAGATGGATGATAGATTAGATGATAGATAAAATAAGATATATGATAGATGGATGATCGATAATTAGATTAGCTAGAAGATAGATAAGATTAGATGGATGATCGATAAATAGATAGTTGATATAGATGATTGATAGGTGATAGATTAGATGGATAATAGATAAATAGATAAGATAGATTAGATGATAGATACGATTAGATGGATAATAGATAGATAAATAGATAGATAATTGATATAGATGATTGATAGATGATAGATTAGATGGATGATAGATAAATAGATGATAGATAGATACTGTAGATAGATAGATAAATAGATACAGAATAAGATAAATGATATAGATGATAGATAGATAAAGTAAGATGATATAGATAGATAGATTAGATGGATGATGGAGAAAGAGACAGGATGATAGATAAGATGGATAAGATAGATTAGCTAGATGATAGATAAGATTAGATGGATGATGGATGGATGGATGGATAGATGGATTGATGTGAAGGCCCTAAATGACCAGTCCATTCTGTGTTTACCGACAATAGGTGGTGCAGTGTGTCTCTCCCAAGGGGCCCCTGGCTTGTTCCAGGACCTACTTCTTCGGTGCCACTCACACTCCTTACCTTGGTAAGTCCAGCCACTAAACCAAGATTTCTCACCTGGCTGATTCCTGAGCATCGCCATACTAGGCAGCCCTTAAAAATGCTCACCTTGTCACGGCACTATTGGGCAAACTGCAAACCAGGAAAGGTGACAGCAGTTCCCTCTTGATTTTTTTGACCCCCACTTCCTCCCAGATGCCTCTAGAAGCAGCTAATAAACCTCTCCTTGTAGTGCTATATATCCTAAGTACAAAATGCTAAAAGGTAGTCCTTGACTTACAACCTCAATTGAGCCCAATGTTGATGTTGCTAAGCGAGACATTTGTTAGGTGAGCTTTGTCCCATTTTACGACCTTTCTTGCCACTGCCGTTAAGTGAATCCCCACCGTTGTTCAGTTACTAACACAGTCATTAAGTGAATCTGGCTCTCCCATTGGCTTGGCTTGTCAGAAGGTCGCAGAAGGGGATCACATGACCCTGGGATGCTGCCACAGTCATAAGCGTGAAAAGTAGCCGTAAGTCATTTTTTCCAGTGCTGCTGTAATTTTGAATGGTCGCTAAATGAAGTAAGTCAAGGACTCACCTTATATCCTAAGTTCAAAATGCTAAAAGTGCATCGGGAGAATTTCAGTGCATTTCAACGATTATATCTAAAAGTAGCTGGATCCCCCTGCTGCGCTACGAAACTATTCTGATCGGGCTTAGTTTTTGGGGAGGAAAATAAGAGGGGGGGGGGAATTCTGCCTCTGCCCGTCAGCATCCATCGGTATTCATCTGGCTAGAGTTGAGGGCTGCTTGGAAACTGAAACTATTTGCTGTGTGAACAAGGAGGAGACAGCAAGGAGCCTGGGCGTGG